CCCTGAAGCTGATGGAGGGGTTCGAAGGTCCAGACCTGATCTTTCAACATCCCGAAACTCTGCACCTTTACATTGAAAGCGTAAAGCTTGCGGTTGCTGATCGAATCAAGTGGGGCGGGGATCCGGCGTATGCCAAGGCGCCGGTCGACGCGCTCCTGTCAGACGGTTATGCTGAGCAGCAGCGTACCCGCATTGACCGCAACAGCGCCGCTATCGTCTCAGGCGAGCAGTTCAGCCGAATGACCCCTTCAGGGTCGATAAAGGCCGGTAGTCCAGACGCTTTCGACGGAGGCATGACCACGCACTTCGCGGTTGCCGACAGCGACGGAAATGTCGTTTCGGTCACTCAAACTTTGGGCGGGGGATTCGGATCAGCCGTTGCGCCAGGCGGCACTGGGCTCTTCCTGAATAACATGGCCCACTGGTTCGACCTCGAAGAGGGCGCACCCAACCGCCTGGAAGGTGGCAAGCGCGTGGATTTCTGTGTCGCTCCCACGCAGACTTTCAAGGATGGCAAGTTCCACGTCAGCCTCGGCACACCCGGCAGTTGGGGTATCCTTCAGACAACCCCGCAGTTCGTGATGAACGTACTCGACTTTGGAATGAACGTCCAGGAAGCGATCGAAGCCCCACGGCTCCGAGTCTTTGAAGAGCGGCGGGTCGTCATGGAGGAGCGCTTCCCGGCGCCCGTACGCATGGCGTTAGCAGAGAAGGGACACGACATCGAGCTGGCTGAACCGTTCTCCACTACGGTCGGCGGCGCGCAGGGCATACAGGTGAACCGCGAGGAAGGCACATTTCAGGGTGGGGCGGACCCAAGACGTGATGGCACCGCAATCGGTTTCTAGAAGTGTCTGTCTAATGATTACGGACAAGCTTCGATCTTTGACCGCTGGCAGCTAACGTCGTAAACAACCCCAGGTATTCTACGGCTGGTGGATCGTGATCGCCGGTGGGGCTGCGATGTCGATCGCGTCCGGCATCAACTTTCACGGCTTCGGCACTTCATTATTCCACTTGGTGAGGAGTTCGGCTGGAGCCGAACGACGATTTCGGTAGTCTTCAGTGTCGCGCGGCTGGAGTCAGGACTACTAGGGCCAGCGGAAGGGTGGGCCGTCGACCGCGTCGGCCCTCGCCGACTAATCGCTGTGGGAATACCCCTAATGGGCCTCGGCTACGTCGCTATGAGCCGCATTGACGGTCTTCTGACCTTCTTCTTCGTATACGTGTTCATGATCGCGCTGGGAAACAGCCTGGGGATGAGCACTCCGATCACGGCGGCGGTGGCGAACTGGTTCAATCGCAAGCGGGGCCTTGCCTTTGGGATCATGTGGTTCCGGGTGGGAATCGGCGGCCTATTCGTGCCGGCGCTGGGTTGGCTGGTGGAGACGTATGGATGGCGCCCGGCAGCCTTGATGGTTGGCGTGTTCATAGCCGTGCTGGGCGTTCCCGTCGCAACGGTAATGCGCCACAGACCGGAGCCGTATGGTTACTACCCTGACGGCATAGTGCCAGACGAAGTCCGCGCGTCAGGGGCAGCGCGCAGGCCGCTCATGCCGGACCTGTCCGACGACTTCACGGCGCGAGAGGCGTTGCGGACATCCAGCTTCTGTTTCTTACGCTGTCGATCATGGCACGCTCTCTCGTCAGCGGGGGCATCGGACTTCACCTCGTGCCGTTCTTCATCGATCTGGGAGCGTCGAGCGTGACCGCAGCCGCTCTTGCGGGGTCGGTCGGACTTATGAGCATTCCTGGCAGGTTCGGCCTGAGCGCTCTTGGAGACTACGTCAACAAACGTTACGTGATGGTCGCGTCGCTCGCTCTGATGGCGGTGTCCATTGTGTTCATGGCGAGGGCGCCCAGCGTGACCGCTGTTATCCCTATTCTCGTCGCGTTTTCGGCCTCGCAGGGCGGTATTTCCGTGATACCGCAGTCGCTGATCGCAGACTACTTTGGACGTCGTTCTTACGCAACGATCCAGGGATTCAGGTCAACCATTCAGATGCTCGGAATCATCGTCGGACCCATCATCAGCGGGTACGTGTTCGACACGACAGGAAGCTACACCATCGCCTTTCTGGGATTTTCCGTGGCCTCGTTAGTCTCCATGATCCTGGTGTTCATGGCGAAGCCACCGGTGAGGACGAGGTCAGCTGCGAGGGTCAGGGGATAGAGCCCGAATTCGAACTCTATCCTCCATTGCTGGTCTTGCCGATACAGGTCCAGATATCCGCAGAAAGGCCGACGTCTTAGAGGTCGGTCTTGGGGATGTCTTTACTTGGATCTACGAATGGTACGCGCACTACTTCGGCGTCCACTATGCCGTCCTTCGGAAGCTGGACCTTGACCTGCGTGCCACGTCTCCAGTGTGATCGCGGCATCACGCCAAGAGCGATGTTCGAGTCCTGGTTGGGCGACCAGAACGCGCTCGTCACGTAACCTACGTCGTCGCCTGAATCGCTGTCCTTGACCAGGTAGAAGTCCTCGTTGTACCAGGTAATGGGTTCTCCCACCCATTCTGAGTCCGACCAGCCGCTGCTGAACCCCTTCTTCCTTGATCCCGGCTAGGGCTTTCTTGCCAATGTAGTCGCCCTTGTCCAGATCCACCTGCCAGCCAAGCCGGACCTCGAAAGGGTTGTCCTCAATGTCCATGTCCTGCCCGTAGGACAGAATGCCAGCCTCCAGTCGTCGGATGTGACTGGCGGCGATCACGCCCAGGTTAAATTCTTCTCCCTGTTCCAAGATGTAGGGCCAGACTTCATCAGAGTAGAGCATAGCGTCGTGCAGGTAGATCTCGAATCCGACCTCCGCGGAGAAGCCCGTGCGTGAGATAGTTACAGGGTGTCCGTTCACCGTGTCGTGGATGAGTCCGTAGTAGGGGATGTCCCTCACGTGGGGTCCAACCATCTTTTCTAGCAGATCCACCGACTTGGGGCCCTGGATTTGGACGGGAGACACATCAATCTCGTGAATGTCCACATTGAACCTACCGGAGGAATTAACTCCCTGGGCCCATAGCAAGACATCTGAGTCGGAGATGCTGAACCAGAACTCATCGTCAGCTACGCGCAGGAGCACCGGGTCGTTGATTATGCCGCCGTACTGGTTGCACAGAATAACGTAGCGAGCCTGCATCGTAGGCACGTGCTGATGAACATCGCGCGTGATCACGTAGTCCACGAAGTCGGCTGCGTCCGGGCCCTTAACCTGGATTTGGCGCTCGACCGCCACGTCCCATATGCTGACGTGCTCGGTCAAAATCTCGTACTCCGCCATCAGCCCGCCATCTTCTGGTTTGATGTAGGCTCTCGGATGATACAGGTGGTTGTAGGTCGTATACGCCCAGCAGCCAGCAGCCTTTGACATGTGCCACCAGGGAGACTTTCTTACCCTGGTGGAGATCAGCATCTGGGCATCGCTGTTTCCGCTCTGCCGCAGATTGATCGGCAGGATTCGATCTTTGAGGCCGTCGATTACAAGAGTCTGCGCCATTCAAGTTCCTCCAGCCATTCGGCTATTGTGCCTGTTACGCCAACTCGATGCGATAGTAGCACTCAGCAATTAGATCAGGTAGCGGTTTCTCGCGTCTGTTGTCTCTTGAAGTTGGAATACACCCACTGAATATCGGAACTCCCTTGCTGTCAGAATAGACTCTCCCTCGATTGATTGCGGTGATGTCGATGTCTAAGCTAGATGTCTCAGGCCAAGTCCGCCCCCTCAAGAATGGCAGGTATCCGCGACTCCCCCCCGATTGCCATTATGTGAGTGCCATCGCACATGTCGCGCACCTCACGGATGAGGCGAGACGTGATGTTTATCCCAGCTGCCGCCCTGTCCTGGGCTCCCTCCATCTCCTCAATGACGCTCGCAGGAACTGATACGCCGGGTAGATTGTCGTTCAGAAACCGAGCCATGCGAGCCGATTTCAGGACGATCATGCCGGCCAGGACAGGGACTCCGAAGCCTCGTGCCGTGTCCATAAAAAGTCTCAAATGTCACAGCGTCGAAGACTGCCTGCGTCTGAAAGAAGGACGCGCCCATGCGCACCTTCTCCTCCATGCGGGATAGCTCTGTGTCCAGGTCGTCGGCACCAGGGTTGGCTACGGCACCGGCAAGGATGGATGGTGATCCTCTTAGTTCGTTGCCGTACATGTCGGCACCCGCATTCATAGCCTTGACTGCTTCAAGGAGTGTCTCAGCCTTGAGGTCGAAGACTCCCACGGCGTCTGGGTGATCACCGCGTCCGGGGGGGTCTCCGCTCATGCAGAGAATGTTGGATATCCCCAGCGCGGCTGCGGCAAGGACCTCACCTTCGAGGGCAATGCGATTGCGGTCACGGCCGGTAATCTGCAAGATAGGCTCAATGCCGCGGTCGAGCATGAGATGGGCGGCAGCGATGGGCGCCATGGTCATGTTTGCACCTGGAGAGTCGGTCAGGTTGAAGGCGTCTACCATGCCGCTAAGGGACTCGGCATGCTTTAACAGCCTACCCAGGTCTGTGCCCTTGGGAGGGTTAAGCTCGGTGGTAACCACGAACTTGCCGGACTTCAACGATTCGGCATACGTTTGCAATCGAGCCTCCATTGTCCGACGGCTAACGACATGTCTCATGCGATGTCGTAGGTCGTCTCGCCCTTGTCCAACACTTTCCCTGACATCGGTCGCGAATTCAACCAATTCCGATTCGTCGGGAACACCTGTCGAGCGGAGCTTCTCCTTGAACATCTCGAACAGCCAGTCTTCCTCACGTCCTTGGGGAAAGTCGAAGAACTCCCTGTCGAAGTGGGGTAGCTCACCCGGACCGAAGTGTCCCTCGCCCTTCATTGAGTACCCTTCCAGGTTTTCGGTGCCCTTACCGAGCACTTCTCCGGTCTCTACGTAGTGCTCCATAACCGGCTTCATTCCGTACCTCTGGATCGGGCAGACAATCATGCAGACCGCGCACCCGTGGTAAGTAACCATGACTGGGCGGCACCGTTCGTAGATGAGCTTGTTCTTCTCAGCTCCGCGCCACCAGACCTTGTCACGCGTTAGCGCTCGACCCGGGCACCTGTTCACACAGACTTGGCATTCCTGGCAGAAATTGTGGATGCCGTAGTCTGCGGGCTTGTCGTATGTGACAGGCGCGTCGGTGGTGACCAGCATCAGACGGGAGCGCGATCCGAAATGAGGCGACAGGAGCTGTCCGTTCGCGCCGAGCTGTCCCAGTCCGGCGGCGACGAATAGCGGTATGTAAGGACCGCTGCAATCGTATCCATCGTGGACCTGCGCGCGGTAACCTCTCGACCTTATGTACTCCGCCAAGTTTAGGCAGCCCGCCTGCTCGTCCTCGTAGGTCTCGAATCGCGCCTGGTCGGCCTCAGGACCAGGACCTGTCTGCGTCATTCGGTAGTCCTGCTCGTAAGCCAGACAGACGGCGTGCTCGAACTTCGCCCAGCGCTTCTTGCCTGAGAACGTATAGTGGCGGTCATGCCTCGTGAAACCTACCTCGCCGAATCCCAGCTCTCGCGCAAACTGCCGAATGTCCTCCGTCAGGTCTTCACCAGCGACCGGCGCACCGGTCGGCTCGACGTCGCCGGACATCAGCCCCTCTTCGTACATCGGCTTCATCCGAGCGTCGTGGCCGGCCCTGAACTCATCGAGGTCGCTCGACTGCGTCACCACAGCCCACTGACGATCGGCAGACTTGTCAACGGCCTGCGACTCCAGGGGATGCTCTCTGCTGTAGAAAGCAACGTCAACTGGCTTCAGAGGAATGCCGGGGACTGATGTGAGATCTTCAGGGACTGGGATCTCTATGTCAGAGTCGCCGTCTCTTCTGCCGGGTCTCCTAATGATGTGACTTATCGACTTGACCACTTTGCCCCTCCTCCCGTGACGACCGTGACGTGGAGTTTACGCTGGTTTAGCCCGCTTTATGATCGAGAGTCGGGCTCCTTGTTGTGCTCTTCGCTCTTGTGTTTTTCGTATAGCAGCACTGCTTCTTGCAGTCTCACACTCACACTTCAAGCTTCTTGTAGATGGCCGGACCTTATGCCTTCATCTTGCTCCCCGATGGATCATAAAGAGGCTCCATTGCGACGGTAGCTTGAAGACGCTTGCCAAAGTAGAGCACGTCGACGCCAGTTCCTACTTCAGAGTGGCTCATTGGGAGATAGCCATACACGATTCCTCTGCCTATTGAGTGTCCGAAGTTAGCGCTTGTAACGTACCCAAGCACCTCGTCACCGTCCAGTATTGGCTCCTTTCCCATTACGACAGCGTCGGAATCATCCAAAGTCAAGCAGCACAACTTGCGCTCCGGGCCCTTTGCTCGAACTTCCCCGAGTGCGTCCCTTCCGACAAAAGCTCCCTTTCGCATTCTCACCGCGAATCCAGTGCCTGCCTCATATGGGCTGTATTCGGTGTGGATGTCGTTGCCCCACAACCGGTATCCTTTTTCCAGGCGCAACGAGTCAAATGCCCCTCCGCCGGCGGCGACTACACCGAGTGGCTGGCCCGCCTCCCAGAGAACGTCCCACAACCGCAGGCCCTGTTCGGCAGAGGTGTAAATCTCCCAACCGAGCTCACCTACGTATGAGATGCGCAGGGCCAGTGATGGGACCTCGGCAATCGTAATGGACTTTGAGGTCATGTATGGGAAGCCGGAGTTGGACACGTCATCGTCGCATACGCGACTTAGCAGATCGCGTGCTCTTGGTCCCCACAGTCCGATGCAGCACAGTCCCGAAGAGATGTCGTTCACGGCTACCGATCTGTCGTCAGGTAGATGAGTCTTGATCCAGTCCAGGTCGTGGAGTCCCATTGCTCCGCCAGTGACGACCATGAACCTGTTCTCGCTGAGGCGAGTTACGGTCAGGTCGCATTTGATCCGCCTGTGGCTGTTAGCATGGGTGTGTATGTAATTGTTCCCACCGGCTTGTTCATCTGATTGGAGGCAAGTCGTTGGAGCGCGTTGAGCGCGCCGGGGCCCGTAACCTCGAATTTGGCGAAGGGAGTGAGGTCGAACATCGCTACCCGTTCGCGAGTTGCGACGTGCTCAGCTGCGACGGTTGGCGACCACTCCCGCGCCTCCCAGCCGGAACGCGACTCGCCCGTAACGGTCAGGGAGTCCAGCAGACCCTCGTTAGTGTCGTACCACTGCGGCCGCTCCCAACCCGCATTCTCGAAGAAGACGGCTCCCAACTCTCTCTGTCGAACATAGAAGGGCGTCAGTCGGATGTTTCTGGGGTTCTCGATCTGTTGACGCGGGTGGATGATGTCGTAGACCTCACGGTATTGCTGAGCGGCCCGTTCGCGGACGTATGGGCGGCTGTACGCGAATGGGTGGAAACGTCGTATGTCGCATTCGCGAAGGTCTGTGGTCGGTTCGCCAGTCACGATCCACTCTGCGACGGCCTTGCCGACGCCTCCAGCGTGCGTTATCCAGACCGCCTGGGCCGACCAGAACCCTTGACCTGGGGCGATTCGCCAAGGACGGGAAAGCATCCGTGGTGAACGAGAACATGCCGTTGAACTTACGTGTCAGTCCGGCGCCTCTGAGACCTGGCAGCAGTTCCGCCGCCGCCGCCATCGATTTCTCGAAGTGGCTTGGCGTGAACGGCATTTCAGCCGGAGCGACTGGAGCTTCGTCATGTGCGAGGATTTCAGTCGCCTCTACCAGTAGAGGTTCGTGCCGGTAGGAGCCGATGCCATAGCTCTCACCGACTTGCCGGAAGTACAGGGACTCGTCCTGATGCCGCAGGATCGGCTGTGAAACCTCCTCGGTAGCTCCGGCCAAATCGGGAAGGGGAGTCGTAACGGCGTATAGGTGCTGCATCGGGGACAACGGGATTGGCACGCCAGCCAGTGCGCCGAGTTTCGGAGCCCATATGCCCGCTGCAGCCACTACCAGCTCCGTCTCAACGTCGCCGTGACTCGTTTTGACAGCGATGACACGGCCATTCCGAATGTCAAAGCCTGTGACCTCGACGTTGCTGTAGAATGCCGTGCCATTCGACTCGGCGAATCTCGCCATCGCTTCGGCTGGTCTAGTGGCTTTTGTCTGGATGTCTGAGGGAACGTACAGCGCACCCTTGATGCGGTCTGACAGCATTGGGATCAGGTCGCGCGCTTCGCTGGGGCCGATCAGATGCGCCTCTACACCCCAACTCATGCCATATCCAGCCTTGCGTTTGAGGTCCGTGAGTCGTTCCTGCGTCCAGGCTACTTCCAAGCTGCCTACCGACTTCGCGCATGGCTCTCCGTCTAAATCCAGCCGTTTCCAGAGGTCCACGGTGTAGCTGGCGAAGTTTGCCATGGTCTTTGACGGATTGATCTGGAAGACCAGGCCCGGAGCGTGCGATGTCGATCCTCCGGTTTCGAATAGAGGACCCTGCTCGAGAACTACGACATTTCGCCATCCGAGCTCAGCCAAGTGGTAGGCGACGCTACAGCCTGCGATCCCGGCGCCGACAATGACCGCTCTGGCTTTAGTGGGAAACCTGCTGTCAGCCATCTCTCGTCCCCCGTCGAAACTGAGGCGGAATCAAGTCAGTTTGGCGCTGCAATAAGCTCTGGACTATGAACAGACCGAAGTTGCAAGTTAATTCCTGAAAGTGTGATTGCATTCTACCCCACGTTGTCCAATCGGTTAAGGTCTAAGGACGCAGTCTGGCTCATATTCACCGGAGGATGGTCTGGGAGGCTTTGGATCGGCGCGAGGATTGAGCTCATGCCGGAATTCTTGACTCTCATTTCTGCGCTATGCTAGCTTTCTTGAAATAGCTAAAGGCAGTGAAGGGGAGTAGTAGAGGTCGGTATCGGCCCAAAGAGAGCCGGGGAAAGGTGAGAGCCCGGCGCAGTGACCGACTCGAACTCGCCCTTGAGCCTCCGGCCCGAACATGGTTTCAGTAAGGCTGGACGGTCAGCACCGTTAAAGCGTAATGAGTGTCCGCTGGCTTGCGGAAATCAGGGTGGTACCGCGGGTATTGAAACGATGGCCCGTCCCTAGAAGGGGGCGGGTTTTTTTGTTGGACAAAATCTGGGCATAGACAATTGAGGGCCAGCACCCAGGCTCGCGGCAGCCGGAGGAAGTGTCTCTATGGCAACAACAACACAGAGTTCCCGTATGTCCTACGACCATCGGGATATGCAGGCGAAATGGAGCGACCGCTGGGAAGACGGCGGGATCTACGCCGTCGCTGACGACGATCCGCGTCCAAAGTGGTATGAACTCCATATGTATCCGTACCCGTCCGGAGACCTCCATGTTGGCCACTGGTTCGCCATGACCGGTGCGGACGTCCACGCCCGGTACATGCGCATGAAGGGATATAACGTCCTCCATCCAATGGGGTTCGATGCCTTCGGCCTGAACGCTGAGAACGCCGCCATCAAGAACGGCGTTCACCCGCACACGTGGACCATGTCCAACATCGAAAACATGCGCCGACAGCTCAGGTCGATGGGGCCGATGTACGACTGGGAACGCGAAGTCGTCACCTGTATCCCTGACTACTACAAGTGGAACCAGTGGTTCTTCCTGCAGCTCTACAAGAATGGGCTCGCGTACAGGGCCGACGCCCCGGTCAACTGGTGCCCATCATGCCAGACAGTTCTCGCAAATGAGCAGGTCATCAATGGATTCTGCGAACGATGCGACACGGCGGTCGCCCACAAAGACATGGAGCAGTGGTTCTTCAAAATTACCGACTATGCCGATGAGTTGCTCGATCACTCCAAGATGGACTGGCCCGACCGCATCAACACGATGCAGACGAACTGGATTGGGCGCTCCAAAGGTGTAGAAGTAGATTTCGACATTTCCGAGTACGGCCTGGATGAGCAGGCGATTCGCACCTTCACGACACGAATCGACACTGTGTTCGGAGTTACGTTCATCGTGCTGGCGCCAGAGCACCCTCTGGTCGACAAGCTGACCACGAGTGAGCACCGCGACGAAGTGACCGCATACGTCGAGCAGGCGCGTCTTCAGACCGAAATCGAACGGCTGTCAACCGAGAAGGAGAAGACGGGGGTCTTCACTGGGGCCTTCGCCGTCAACAAGCTGAATGGCGAGCGTGTCCCGATCCTGGTGGCCGACTACGTCCTCCTGAGCTACGGCACGGGAATGGTAATGGGTGTCCCGGCTCACGACGAGCGCGACTTTATCTTCGCCACAAAAAATGGGCTGCCGATCCGCGTCGTTATCGCTCCTCCAGCCTGGGACGGCTCCAAACTGGACGAGGCGTACATAGCTCCGGGAACGCAGGTCAACTCCGGCCAGTTTGACGGAATTCCGAACTCGGAAGGTCTGGAACGGATTGCAGACTTCATAGAAGCCAACGGCTGGGGAGAGCGCTCGGTCAACTATCGGATGCGCGACTGGCTAATCAGCCGTCAACGCTATTGGGGAACTCCGATTCCGGTTGTGTACTGCGAGAAGTGCGGCGAGACGCCGGTGCCTGAATCCGACCTTCCTGTCCTGCTGCCGGAGGACGCTGAGTTTCTGCCGACAGGCGACTCCCCACTGGCGCTGCATGAAGGATTCGTCAACGCTACGTGTCCCGATTGCGGGAGCCCCGCAAAGCGCGAAACAGACACGATGGACACGTTCGTCGATTCATCGTGGTACTTCCTGCGGTACGCAAGTCCTAAATTCGAGGACGGCCCGTTCGATCCCAACGCTCTTGAACAGTGGGGCGCTGTGGACCAGTACACCGGCGGCGTCGAGCACGCGGTTATGCACCTCCTGTACGCGCGTTTCTTCGTAAAGGCGCTACGTGACCTTGGCTATGTCGAATTCGACGAGCCATTTGTTAGGCTGGTGAACCAGGGCACAATAGTCTTCAACCATCAGAAGATGAGCAAGTCCCGAGGCAACGTGATTGCGCCGGATGCCTATGTCTCGGATGTTGGGGCTGACGTTGTCCGCACGTACATGATGTTCATGGGGCCGTGGGAGGCGGGCGGCGAGTGGAATGACGATGGAATCAACGGCATGGCGCGCTGGACCAACCGAGTTTGGGACCTCGCCAACCGTGACGCAGGTGTCCTGGACGAGTCGGACACTCACCCAGATGCCGTACGCGGTCTCAGGCGACTCATGCATCAGACAATTCGCAAAGTCACCGAAGATGTGGAGCGGTTCAAGTTCAACACAGGGATAGCTGCCATGATGGAGTTCTCCAACGTCTTGGGTCAGGCGTGGGACTCGGGAGCTATCGACTCTTCGGCGTGGAACGAGTCGATCAGGAATCTGGCACTGATGATGTCTCCGGTTACTCCGTTCCTTGCGGAGGAGATCTGGGAGCGTGTGGGAGGGCCTTTCAGTGTACACCAGCAGCCGTGGCCCACATGGGACCCTGACCTGGCGGCCGACGAAACGATTACCCTGGTTGTGCAGGTCAATGGGCGTCTGCGAGACCGAATCGAGGTGCCGGCAGACATCTCTGAAGACGATGCCAAGACGAGGGCACTGGAGTCAGACAGGGTGGCGGCACACACTGAAGGAAAGCAGGTACGGCGCGTCATCTACGTGCCGGGGCGACTGGTGAACGTGGTCGCTACCTAGCTGGCAATAGGTCGAGACGAAACGTTCCCGTGTCGCTTACATTAGGGTAGGCGGCACGTGTTCGTTTACGCGATCACCTTGAAGTTGTACTGGGTCGTGTTCAGCGAGCCGTCGGAGAACCGACCCATACGAAGCGTTGAGATATCTACCAGTTTTGACTCTCCGTCCATGATCAGTTCCGACATGCACACGCCCACCGCCGGGGCGAGCTTGAATCCGTGACCGCTGAATCCGGTGCAGATGTAAAGCCCGTCGATTCCATCGACTCGGTCCATTACGGGGTGCAGGTCGGGCGTCGTGGTGTACAGACCGGCATAGCCATGCGCCAGCTGCCCGTCGGCGATCCCGGGTATGCGCAGAGCCAGCCTGCTCCAGACGTCCTGCACGTAGTCCGTGCTGGCCCTCTGGTTGTAGGTGTCGGGATCTGCCTCTTCCTCCCTGTTGCCGTTGCCGACCAGCGTCAGGTTGTCGGCCTCCGGTCTGAAGTAGATCAGGTTCGCCATGTCTCCGCCGCCGGGGGTGATGGCCGACGCCTGTCTCTGACCTTCTGATGAGGATTACCTCATGCCGGGTCGCAAGCAGTGGGAGTTCAATGTCGAGATGCCCCAGGAATCGGGATGACCAGGGGCCAGTCGCAATCACTGCGGTATCGGTCGAGTACTCTTCAGTCGCCGTTCTGACTGCCACTACAGCGGCCGTTCTCTACTTCTACCCGCGTAGCGGGCGACTCCAGGACAACCGAGGCTCCAAGCTCTCTAGCTCGGGTAGTGAATGCCAGCGCTGTCCCCGATGGGTCGCCGTGTCCAGACTGGTCCTCCCAGGCGAAGTGCTCGTCTTCGCCGAGATGAAAGTCGGGCGCAAGCACCTTCGCGTCCTGCCAGCTTACAATCTGGGTGTCGATCCCCACTTGCTGCTGCATTTCGATGTTGTGTCGGAAGCCCTCCGATTCGTGGTCTGGGGCGATGACCATGTATCCGGTCCTGACGAAGCCAGGGTCTCCGTCTCCACCTATTGTCTCGCTCCAGTTCTGGAAGACGCGAAGACTCTCCCAGGCGAGGCGCGCGTTGACCTCGGTAGAGTAGTGCATTCTGATGGCGCCTGAGGATCGCCCGGTGGACCCCGAACCGAGGGTATCGCGTTCCAACAGCACGGAGTTATTGACGCCTCTGTCTGCGAGGTTGTACAGAATGCTGGCACCCATCACACCGCCGCCGATTACGACGACATCCGTTGTTTACGGCCATCGAATTACGCCTCCCGTGATATTTCGCATATAATACTCGCGCTGCGAACAGTGCACAACGCGGCGTGTTCCTCTCGTACTAGTTACTCAACTCTTCCGATTCAATGCGCGCAGGTGCGATCTACCAAGGGGAGAAAAAGCATGGAGTTCAATGTTGCGGTTCTGCCGGGAGACGGCATCGGACCTGACGTAATCGCCGAGGCCGTGAAGGTATTGGATGCCGTTGGTCGTCGTTTCGGTCACACTTTCAACACTGAAACCGGAAGGGTCGGTGGCAACGCGATCGACGATTTCGGCACTCCTCTTCCTGATCAGACTATCGATCTCTGTCGGAGGTCGGACGCTATCCTATTCGGCGCCGTCGGCGGTCCGAAGTGGGACGATCCGCAGAACACTGTCAGGCCTGAAGACGGAATACTCGCGATCAGGAAGAGCCTAGGACTCTTCGCTAATCTCCGACCGGTAAAGGTTTACCCGGCGCTCATCAACTCCAGCCCTATCAAGCCGTCGTTGCTGGAAGGCGTCGACATGATCGTCCTGCGGGAACTGACCGGAGGCCTATACTTCGCGAAGCCAAAGAGACGTTGGACAACCAAGACCGGGCGCCGAGGTGTGGATACCCTGCGGTACACGGAGCATGAGATCGAACGAAATCGTAAGGGTCGCCTTCGAACTGGCCAAGTCTCGCAGCGGGCGCCTTACCAGTGTGGACAAGGCCAACGTACTTGAGACTTCCAGGTTGTGGCGTCAGGTCGTGGACGAGGTCCACGAGGATTACCCCGACATTGAACTGGAGCACATCCTGGTTGATGCCGCTGCCATGGCGCTTATTCGTAACCCAGCCCACTACGACGTGATCGTTGCCGAGAACATGTTTGGCGACATACTCACGGATGAGGCGGCGGTGCTTACGGGTTCGATGGGGATGCAACCGTCGGCCTCGCTTGCCGGAATGCCCGGATCTTCGACCGACACCGTCAGTCTCTACGAACCAATCCACGGCTCGGCTCCGGACATAGCGGGTCAGGGTATAGCCAACCCTATCGGCATGGTGCTCAGCATGGCAATGATGCTCGGGCTCTCATTCGGACTCGACGAGGAGGCGAGTGCGGTCGAGGCGGCGGTCGAAGGAGTCCTTGCGGAGGGCTATCGCACGGCTGACATAGCCTCTGATGGAGGCGACATGGTCAGCACGGAGCACATGGGTACGGTTCTCGCGGGAAGGGTATGAGATCTGAGGCTCGTCGGTCTGCCAGTCTATCTTGAAACGGCGGTTTGCTATCCTCAAAATGGGATGGTCTATCGGCAAATGCGACGAGTGGAGTAAATCATAGTGTCCAAGACATCGCCAACCAGAATCCTGATGCCTGTTGCGACCTCGGATACCGCCGAGACCAAGTTTCGTTTCTTCTTCGAGTTGTCGTCCGGATTGGAAAGCCATGTGACTCTGCTATCAGTGATTGATCCAGATACGCTGGGTGAAGACGAACAGGCTGCGATTAACACTGACGAAGGAAGAGAACGTATTGACGGCCCGTATCTGGACTCACTTACTAAACTGGCCGATTCCGTCGATATTGAGCGGTCAAAAATTGAAGCGCTGGTCATATTTGGGCGCCCTTCCGGAGAAATAATCCGACAGGCTGAGGATGGTTACAATCTGATCGCCATGTTCACTCACGCTAGGGGAGCTATCCAAAGAGGTTTCCTGGGAAGTGTCACCGACGAGGTCATAAGGCACTCAAACATACCAGTCATTACTGCGGCGCCCAGCTCGTTGAACCAACTGTCTGAGCGTCTGGAAACACTGATAGTCCCACTGGACGGATCGAGTACAGCCGAGAGTGCACTGCGTCCCGCTGGTGATTTGGCGTTGAATCTAGGGAACCTCTGAACAAAGCAACGAGTAGTCCGATTGATCGGACTGTGACGGTTTGGAGGTATAGTCCGGCACTCATGTGGAAGGGTCTGGCGCTCCGATTGAATGTCAATAGCGGTTATTGTGGCCTTGAACCGGCTGTGGTTGTGGTTGTGGGACTGCTTTGGACACACTGCTCCCCTATGATGCGGCCATGCAGTGCTCGGCTCTGATCAGGTTGGTGAATCCCAGCAGCACAGCCAGGCGTTGCGTGTTCTTGGCCAACCCACGATAGCGTACCTTACTGTAGCCAAAGTGCCGCTTCACGTACAGGAATGGATGCTCCACCTTCGCTCTCACCGATGCTTTGAGCTTCTCCACCAGCGTCTCATCACTTCCCTGCGCCAATTGCCGACGCTTACCGGGCCTCATCGCAATTTCCCACTTCACTTGCCGTTGACTATTCTCTTGGCGTCTACCAACTCCCTGATAACCAGAATCGCCCCACACTTGCGTTTCTCCACCGTGTAGCAGCCGATGGGCTTGGGTCACGTCATGCACGTTGGCCGATGTCGTACATACGCTGTGTACCATGCCCGTCTGAGAATCCACCCCAATATGCACTTTCATCCCGAAGTACCACTCGTTGCCCTTCTTCGTCTGGTGCATCTCGGGGTCTCGCGCACCAGCCCGATTCTTCGTAGACGACGGTGCCTCTATTATGCTCGCATCCACTATCGTCCCTTCCTGAAGACGCAGTCCACGCGACTCCAGATGACGGTTGATCTCCTCGAACAGACCCTCACCCAGATCGTGGGTGTCCAGAAGATGTCGGAAGTTCAAGATCGTCGTCTCGTCCGGCAGCGGCCCAGACAGCCTCACGCCCACGAACCGTCTGACCGACTCGATCTCGTAGAGCATGTCCTCCATCGCGGGGTCGCTCAGATTGTAGAACAACTGCACACAGTGAATGCGCAACATCACTGACAGATCATAAGGACGGCGCCCTCGGCCCGCCTTCGGATAGAACGGTCGGATGCGGTCCTCGAGCCGGCCCCACGGAATCAGTCCGTCCATGCGTTCCAGAAATCTCTCCCGCCGGGTCTTCCGCTTCTTGCCGTCGTATTCCAGGTCCGCGAACGTGGGCTGTTCCATAGACTCTCAGGCTCCCATGATTACAGTTCTCTTCATATCCCTACTATGCCATAATCAAGGGACTTGTTCAGGGTTCCTAGAACGGTATGCCCCAGAGGAGCGTACCAGTTCTCCAGCTTTCGCTGAACCGGGACCTTTTCCTCGCGCCTGATCTCGCCGATTC